CATATACCCTCCAAATGAAATCAGCATACCAAAGATACCTATGGCTATCATGGCACTATTCACAATAGCTAAGGTAGGGAATCAGACTAGGTGCCTGAGAACAGAGGAGTGGACATGAGAGAGTCAGGAACCACTGTGGTCAGACAAGAGGCTTGGACAATAAACTACTACACTGTGTAGTGTGGCAAGCTGCCTCTCTGAGCTTGTGGTATATACACACTATGGAGTATTATTCAGCCACATAAGACAGTGAAATCCTGTCATTTGAAGCAAAGTGTATGGAAGTGGAGGACATTACATTAAGTGAAATGGATAGGAGACAGAAAGACAAGTACTGCATGTTCTGTCTCATGAGTGGAGACTGAAGTTGCCACCTTAAAGGAGAATATGGATGTCGTGAATGAGAAAAAATGTGGTGTGGCCATGGAGGTGAGCGTGGAAAGGAGTGGTTAGATTTGATCAGTGCACACTCTGCTAATGTATAAAAATATCACACTGAAACCCATTAATATGTAAACTTTATATGTGTTAAATAAAAATCCACAACCATGTGATTTTAATTGAGGTTATTTATGGCTTTTGAAGCATTTGGATATTCTTCTCTATTTTCCCTTCAGTATGTTACTGGACCACTCTCACTTATAGGTTTGGTGGATGTTCTTCAATTGAAAGAATGAATTTTGAAACATTGGCATTTTCTCTGCCTTTGCACTGAGTTCAGGAATGTTTGTGGAATGGTAGTTCCAACTCAGACAATGTATTTGTAGCCAAGGCTACAGAGAAGGGAAGTGTTTCTTGCTTTGGCTTTTCACAGCACAGGAAGCATATAAAGAAGCATTGCCCAATTAGTGATGCAAATATCATTTGTTGTTTTGGGGAATATTTTATTATTCAGTAAAACTGTTTGCCTAGTTTGAATTCATAAACAGAACATTGCTAAATCTATAGAAATGTTAATATCCAAAACCATTTACATTTTGTTAGGAGTGGATGAGGGCAGTTACTCTACTTGAAAATGTTTCAATATTGTATCAAAAACAGCATTAACAAACACCTTGGAACTGCTGGGCAGTTAACTTTTGTAGCAGGACAATTTAGGATTTTAAGATTTTATTTCTGAAAAAGGGAAAATAGTAGAGGAAAGGAACAAAAAAGGGAGGAGGCAGGGAGTGAAAGTAGAGATACTGAGGAATTAAATCAGTCAATTTATGCTGTGTACATATAGAAAAGAAGCACAATGAATCTCACTTTCATGTATAATTAAAATGAATCAACTTTAAAAAAAAATTAGAAGGGAGACTAGAGAGTACAGGAAAAAGATCAGAGGAAAGAAGGAGGGGAGGAAATAAAGGAGGAAACACTAAAAATAAAATGGGATGAATTGTCATGAGCCTGTTTGAATTTGCCACAGTGGACCCCACTGTCATGTACACTTCAATAAACATGAAATGAAAGACTTGGAATATAGCTTAGTGGTAGGAGGCCTTATGTATCTTGTGCCGGCTCTGGGTTCAATCCCAAGCACTACAAATAATAATAATATTAATGTAATGATAATATTTTATTTCTGAAAAGCAATAAAGAAATCAACAGTGGTTAAGACTAAAGATTATGAACTAGATTAAGTTCATAATTGACAACATTTGTTCAACTGTTGTGGGCTGCAACCAAGTCAAGATGGCGCCTGGCAGTTTGCCAGGAGGAGTGGTTTGTAAGGCAACGCCACTGAGCCATTAAGATGATGGAGATTCATTCCTTATTGGCTGATTGCTGTATCTAGATGATGCTAATTGAGTCAAGTTGTGTGTAATCAGTTAGGTATATATACCTCTACTGTCCTGCAATAAAGCGGCTCTCACTACCTTGAGTGCCCGCTCAGTTCCCACTGAGTTCCCCCGCAATAAAGCAGCTCCCACTTCGACCTTCAAGTTGCTTATCACCTCCCCGTTATTTTGCCCAGCCGGACTGCGGCATTCAACTACATTTGATAAATTCAAATAAAACTCACAAAATAATTAGTGATGAGTATCACAATCCAAAATCTTTAAATTTGTAGTATTCATATGTTTTTTCTCCATCTCACACTTTTATTGGTGTATAATAATGATACAGAATACTGGGTTTCATTGTGGCATACTTAGACTACCTCCCCTTGTTCTCCTTTCCTCTCTACACTCAGAGCCCTCCTTATTCTACCCTGATGGTCTTTTTGTTTTGTTTTATTTTGTTTTGTTTTGTTTTGGTCAGAGTCCCTTTTTTCTATCTTCTACATATGAAAAAACAATAACATAGAAATCTTGATTTTCTGAGTCTGGCTTTTTCCACACAAGGAGCTATTCTACAATTTCATCCATTTTCCAGCAAATGACATTTCATTCTTTTTTATGTCTGAGTAAACTTCCATTTTGAATATATACCTCATTATCTTTATGTATTAATTTCTCTAAAGACAATGACTTGGTTAATTGAGAATCATGCTGCTGTAAAACTGACCTTTTGTAAGAATTATTGGTGGGGTAGTATCATTGTGACATGGTGGTTCCATTCCAAACCTGCTGTGGAATCTACATACTGATTTCCATAAGGGCCTCTACTAATTTCCATTTCTAACAACAGTTTATGAGTTCCTTTTCCCCTGCATCCTCCCCAACATTAAATATTATTTGTATCCTAACTGCAGTGAGATAAAATCTCAGTATAATTTTGATTTTAATTTACCTAATGACTAAAGATGTGTGCCTTTTTTTTTTTTAACAAAGTCATTGTTCATCTTCACTCCTTTTGAGAAGTTTCTGTTCATTTTATTTGCTGACTTACCAAATAGATTCTTTGGGTTTTTTTTTTAATGTTGTGTTTTTTAWGTTCTTTATGTATTTTAAGTATTCATCATTGGCCAGAAGAGAACATAGCAAAGATTTTCTCCCATTCTATAGATTCTCTTATCACACTGTTAATTGTTTCCTTTGTTGTATAGAAGCTTCTTAGATTGAGGCTAATCCCTTTCATTGATCATTGATATCATTTCCTAAATTGTAGTCTTCTGAGGTATTCATTGTCTAAGCCTGTATTTTGGAATATTTTCTATATGTTCTCTTCCAGCAGTTACAAGTTTTTTGGTCTGATTTATACATTGTTAATCTGTTTTGAGTTGAGTTTTGTGCTTGGTGAGAAATAAAAATCTACTTAAAATCTCTTTTTTATGGATATCCAGTTTTCTGATCACCATGGGTTATAGAGGCTGGCATTTCTCAAATGTAAGTTTGGGGCCCTTTTGTCAAGGAGTAGGACTGTTTGATATGTAGGTTTGTCTCTTTGTCTTCTATTCTATTCAATTGATCTGTATGTCTAGTTTTATGCCACCACTAAGTTGTTTATGCTACTATGACTCTGTAGTATAATTTAAAATTGCGTACTCTGATGCCTCCAGCCTTTTTTGGTTCAGAATTGCTTTCAATATTCTTGTTCTTTTGCTCTACCATTTACATTTTAGAATTGCTTTTGCTACTTCTGGGGATAGTAACTTTGATATTTTAATGGAAACTATTTAATCTGTAGATCTTATTAGTAGTATGACCACCATAACAATGTTAATTTTACCTATCCAGGAATATAGGAGATATTCAAATCTTCAAATGTCTTTTTTTAAAAATTTCACTTTCAGTGTTCTGTAATTTCCCTTGTATAATCCTTTCACCTCTTTGTTTAAATTTATTCTTAGGTACTTAATTTTCTTTTGAAGCTATTGTGAATGGAACCATTCTCAGCATATTTATTATTGCTGTATAGAAAAGCTATTCATTTTTGTATGTTACTTTTGTACCTACTACTTTGATGAACTTATTTGTCAGCTCTGGAATAATCTGGTAGAGTTTTAGGATCTTAAATATAGGAACATAGCATCTGCAAACAGGAAAATTTGACTTCTTTCATTTTTATTTAATAAAAATTAAATAATTTTTWAATTTAATTAAAATAATTTAATTTTTTAAAATTATTTTTATTTAATCCTTCTCTTAACTAGTAGCCTGTCTCAGGGACTATATTGAATAGGAGTGGTGGTAGTGGACATCCTTGTTTTCCTGATTTAAGAGAAAACGCTTTCACAATTTCCTCATTCAGTACAATGTTGACTTTGAGTTTGTCAGACACAGCCTTTATGATCTTAAAGTATACCTGTTTTTTTCACTAAAAATGTTTTTATTTTATGTACAAATAATGGGCAGATGTTATACCCATAAATTCTATATTCCATAACAATCAAGAACCTGTTTTTAAAAAGAAAGAAAGAAAACTCCGCAACAAATTTTAAGACATTAGGATTTCTTTGCTTCTAGATCAGGGAGAGGAGAGAGGGGGCTTGCTCTAACAGGAATCACAAATTAGAACTGAGTATTCTCTAAAGCAGAAATAATATRGTGCCATTTCAAGTAAAGATTAGTCAGCTCTCCTCACAAACACTCATAACTACCTGCTAAGAACAGGTAAACCAGGTCAAAACAGCTTAGCATAACTAGGCTTCATGGTATTAGGCCATTATACTCTTTTAGGCTAATAAATCAAAACAGAAAATACTAAAATAAAAATAAATGATTTTGAGATTGTCATACAAATTGTTAGTTCCTTGTTGTATCCTCCCATCTATAACATAATAAAGGGAACATTTTACTGCAAAGAAAGAAAATTTGATTATATCTATCACTGGCCATGAATTTTTGTAATTACTTATTACATAAATGCTGCCTAGTGCTATTATCCAAAAGGCATGACCATTCTGCCCACAATCCACTTGTGCATTTATAAACAGAATTTTCATGATTTACATAAGCATGTCTATCAATGAAGACATTACAATGAGGTGCAATCTAACATCCAAAATCTGATGCTTTGCAGATAGCAATAGTATTTGTAATCACCTTTCACTTCAGTGACCTTATATAAAAATTAATAATTTAGAATTAAGGAGATTTTCAAATGTACACATAGAAATGGTTACAGAGTCAGATTTTTAAGAAACATCCTCCATGTCCACATCCTGTTGTAACTGCTGTGCCATTTTTTCTTCCAGCTGCTTCCCTTTGCCTGCAAGAGGGGCTCGGATAAGATGGATGTTTTGCTTGACTTCTTTAATGTCCTGAACTTTCTGTAGCTCTTTATTTYTCTTCAATCTGTTCATTATAAATTTAGCTTGGCGTTTCTGTTTGATCTCTTCAACTCTCTTCATTGCATCAATATTTTTATTCCATAGTTCTCACTGGTATTTGACAGGTTCATTTCTAGGTTTTTCAGATTCAAACGAGTTATCCACTGTAAGCTCTGTGCCAGCTGCTTTCCAGAATGCTTTAGTCCACCTGACCTTTCGAGGATTACGCTTCTTTTTAAAGTTCTTATGACATTTGGATTTACAGAATCTGAATACCTTGCAATCATTGCGGACCAACATCATGCCGTGGCCGGGGTAGATGGGCCCTGAACAGAAATAACACTTCTCCATACGCAGGTTGAGGCCTCATGGGTCCCCACCGACCCAACCGTGAGCTCTTAAAGTAGAACTGTTTTATCCCTACTTTCTTCAGGATTTTTTTAACCATAAACAAGTATTTTGTCAATGCATTTTTCTGCATCTATTGAGATGATCATGTGATTTTTGATCTTGAGTTTCTTTGTATGGTATCTACATCTTTTGATTTTCATGTTAAATATCATTTCATCCCCAGAATAAAATCAACATGGCATGATACACAATTATTAATCTGTTGTTGAACTCAACTTGCCACTACTTTACTACGTATTTTTGCATCTAAATGTATCAAGAGTATTGTTCCGTAGTTTTCTTTCTTGAAGTGTCCTCATTTGGTTCAGATTTTGGAGTTACACTGGAAAAAGTATGAAAGTATTTCCACACTTACAGGGAATAATGTGTGAAGCATTAGGGTTAGATCTTCTCTAAAGGTCAAGTAGAACACAGCTGGGAATCCATCTGTTCAAAGGCTTTTCTTTTCTTTATTTCCATTTTTATTGAATTTTTTAAGTTATACATAACGTTAAGATTCATTTTGACACAATTATAAAAGCATAGAACATAATTTGCTCTAATTCATCCCCAGTACTTCCCTTTTTTGTTCCTTCCTTCCTTTCCCTGTTCCCTCCCCTCTACTCATATTTCTGCTATTTACTTACATGCTTTTTTTAAAAAAAAATTTTGTCTCCTGTGTATATACATAATGGTGGAATTTACTGTGGCATATTCATGTATGTACATAGGAAACAGGTCAGAGTCATCCCACTCTTCTTGCCTTATCCTGCCCCTCCTCCCTTCCCTTCTTTCCCTTTCATCTTTCTTCTATTTTTTATTCACACTCCCCCTTCACTTATTTTGGATTATCTTTCATATATCAGAGAAAATATTTGACCTTTCACTTTCTGGGTCTGGCTTATTTTACTTAGCAGCAGAGTTTTCAGTTATTGGCAAATGCCATAATTTCATTCTTCTTTATGGCTGAGAAATACTCCATTGTGTATAKATATCACATTTTATTTATCTACTCATCTGTTGAAGGATATGTAGATTGGTTAAAATAGCTTGACTATTATAAATTGAGCTGCCATAAACATTGATGTGGCTGTTTTCCTATAGTATGTTGATTTTAGATTAATTAAAAATATATTAAAGAGTGGGATAGCTAAGAGGGATAGATAATAAGGTAGTTCCATTATTAGTTTGAGGGAATTATCTAAACTGCTTTTCAGAGTGGTTGTACTAATTTGCAGTCCCACCAACAATGTATAAGTATACATTTCTGCCCCCCCCATATCCTCACCAATACCAATACTTATATTCTTTATAATTACCATTTTGACTGGAGTGAAATGAAATCTTTATGTAGTTCAGGTTTGTATTTCCCTAATTGCAAGAGCTGCTGGACATTTATGCATATATTTGTGGACATTTGCATTTCTTCTTTTGGGAAGTGTCTCTTTAGTTTTTTGGGGGTTTTTTGCCTATTTGTTAATTGGGTGGTAGCAAATATCTTCACCCATTCTGTTGGCTCTCTCTTCATGTTCTTGTTTCCTTGGTTGTACAGAAGCTCTTTAATTTGATGGCATCCCACTAATTGACAGTTTTCTTTTATCGCTTGCACTTTAGGAGTCTTGTTTGGAAAGTCAGTTCCTGTGCCTACATGTTGAAGTGTTGGGCCTACATTTTCTTTCTACCATTTGCAGAGTTTCTGGTTAAATTCCTAGGTGTCTGATCCTCTGTGGATTGACTTTTGTGCAGGGTGAGAGACAGGGGTCAAGTTTCATTCTTCTACATATGTATATCCAGTTTTCCCAGTACCATTTGTTAAAAAGATTATCATTTTCAAGTTGTTTTGGGCACCTTTGTCTAGTACCAAATACCTCTATTTGTGTGAATTTGTCTCTGAGTCTTCTATTCTATTCCATTTGTCCTCATATCTGTTTTGATGCCAGTACCATGCTGGTTTGGTTACTATACCTCTGTAGTATAATTTGAGGTCTAGTTGCTTAGTATTGCTTTGGCTATTCTGGATTTTATATTTTTCCAAATAAAATTTTAGAACTGATTTTACTAGTTCTGTGAAGAATGGCATTGCTATTTTATGGGAATTGCATTCAATTTCTTAATTCTTTTGGTGGTAAAACCATTCGGACAATATTAATTCTGCCTGTCCAAGAACATGAGAGGTCTTTTTCATCTTCTAAGGTCTTCAATTTCTTTCTTCAATGTTCTGTACTTTTTGTTACAGACTTCCTTCACTTTTAAGACTTTTCTTTTGGAAAGCTTTTTATTAGTGTTGAAATCACATTGCTTAGAGCATATGTGCCTTATTGGTCTTGAGTATTAAAAGTTAAATATAACAAGAATAGGACAAAAGAATAGAAAGCAAAATATGGAAAATAATAGAAACTGAAGGGATTCCTCATCTGCCACTCAGGAAACTCAAACAAAAAGTCTCTTCAAGCCGTCAGCACTGCCCCATTCCACGTAAAATGTTGCTGGGGCATGCCACGGCTTTCCCCCATTAGAGTGCAACAGGACTTTCTCCAGATCCGGCTCAGCTAAGCTTTTCTGAACTTAGTTTCTGCTCATATTGAAAGTTTTTTGGACACATGTTTTTCTCATATCCAGTGGGAGAATGCCTTTTGGCTCATTGGAGGAGAGACTCCTCTCTCACCTTTAGCCACAGTATGTCCAAAGATACAAATGTCTATCACTTTTATTAATTCTCTTGACATTCCAGAAACTGATATTCTTGGTTTTCACTTCTTCGCCAGCTCCATGAATTACCTACTTGAATTTTTTCAGTCTTCTTTTGCCGCAGTCCGGCTGCAGCAAAATAGCCGGGGGGTGACGAATAACTTGTGTACGTTGATACAGCAGGAGTGGAAGCCCTTTATTGTAGGGCAACAGAGCTATTTATACATTTTGCACAGCTTATCTTAATTAGCATAAACTAGATACATCAATCAACCAATAAGGCATCTCCAAACTTAATGGCTAGCTTTTGTTACTTTTCAAACCACTCCCTCTGATATTTTGCCAGGCACCATCCAGACTTGTTTACGAACTCTAACATTTGTCTGGCAAAATACCAGGTGTTATTTTTGACTTATTTACAGACCTTAACATTCTTTCCTCAGTTTGTCACTCCAAAACTGCTCTTTTAATTTACTCTTTGGAAGCTCCCATAATACTCTGAGTTCTTCTGATCTGCCATCTTTCCCTTGAGGGATAGCTCCTGAAAATTTTGACCATCCATCCTATTCAACATAGCATTGGAGAACCTCTACACAAGTGTTTTAACCAAATGACAGCTTTTGACATCATGTGGTCAGGGTATACCTCTAATAGAGTCTGAGTTGAACTCAGTCTGTATTTGTAAGATTTTTGTCACCATGAAAAGTACCTGAGAGAACGAACTTAAAGGAGAAGTGATTTCACTAAGCATCATGTTTTCAGAGGTTTCAGTCCATAATCATCTGGCTGTATAGCTTTGGGCCTAATTTTCTTATCTCCCATGTAGTTTATATTTGATGTATACTTCTCATCTACCTCCTCCTACTAATGCTACAATATGCCTAAGTAATGAAACCATGTTTTTAAAAATATCTAGTTCTTCTGTTCTTCAGTTTTTCTCTTCCTTCTCACATGCTCTGGTATTTTCATCTATTATTGCATGCTACTTTCTCTTTTTGGTGTAATAAATGTATTGAATGAAACCAAGAGTGAGTGAGCTATGTTCATGTTGAATTGTGTGTGGGGCAGGAATAAGCATAAGTAATGAACTGTAGGATCACTTAGATTAGCATTAAACTAAAGAAGTGTCCCCCCAGGTTTCAAGAAACCTTTATTTCTAATGTGTGGGGAACCCTCAAATACAGAGTAAAGATGGAAGAGAGGAAGAAAATGTTGAAATTTATGAAACTCTCAAATTAAGAATAAATCTTTGGCTTGTCAAAGTCATTGCAAAAATCAAACTCATTACAGCATGATGTCTGTGATGAATTACCAAAAACAGTTTTCAATTTATCTTCACAACGTTTCACACAATTAGACTCTGCACTCGATGGCATGAAATCTACAGAAGAGAAAAGCAGAAATGAGATGTCATTTGGATAACAACAATATAGGTCTCAAATACAAGTATGGGTAATCAAGAATGAATTAAATGAAAGAATATTTCTTCTGAACTAGTTATGGGTCACCTATGGGCAGTTTGGCCACATGGTCCAAAGACATAGCTAGCAAAGTTCCTTTTTCTAGAATGTTTCCTGCAGGGAAAATATGCACTTCATGGTGAACTTCACATTGTAGATGTTGAAGAATACAGCAACCCTCCCTTCACAGGTTGTCAGGTACAAAAACTTATTTAAAGGAAGCTGGGTTCAAGGCTCTGTAGTGAGTACCATGGAAGAGCGTTGAGCTAGTTATAGACAGGCGACAAGGAGTGACAGGCAATTAAAATGCATCATGACAAATATTATATGGTAGATAGATAAGGCAGGGAGACTCTGGAAAAACAGAGGGAGTCATGTGAAAAATGAGAATGATCATAAAGGCTTCCAGAGCAGGGGTCTCTGAACTGAGACAGAAGTTTGATCAGGATTACACACGAGTAGCAGGATCCAGCACGCAGATTTGGGAAATGGCTAATTTAGGGATCCAAGGATTTAGGGCCTTTGAATCCTGAACAGCAAGAGAGGTTAGAGTTCAGAAGTATCAGAAAAAGGTTAGCAAAATGTTGGGGGAACAGTCATACTCCACTCAATCTTCCTTGAATTTTATCATTCCACAAGAGAGAAGACACTTGGCTCAGAGCATCCCACCTGGACCTGAATCAGCTTTCTTAATATGGATGCCATGTCCTAAAGGAAAGTGGTTTGAGACCTGAAGGAGAAAAGAAATTTCCACAGCTCTCACTAGATTACTGAATATACTTACAACTGTATGGAAAACGCCAGTGTCTCCGGATCATACACGATCCACCTTCTGGAGCTCGGCATCTCTCCAACTTATGCTCACAGAAATTTTCCTTGAATTTTCTACATCGATGACAAAGGAGAGGTATGGCTGCAAGAAGAAAAACTGTTCTCAGAGGGCAGGGGAAGAATCATTGTCACAGAACAAAGAGAGCAAAGGTCATCCAACTCCCTGATAGCTTGGCTATACCAAGCTGTTTCCCTTAGGGATATGTTCTAGGAAACATGTTTTAATACCACGGACAAAGCAGGAGCATGTGAGGAGACAATCTAACATATCCATACAGTAGACAAGACAGCAGCAGACTGTCAGGAAGGGAGAATGATCACTCTCCAGAGAACCATACTGCTCATGATTCATTTTCTAGCTTACCACAGTGATCACATACAGGAGGGTGGGCACAGAGCACTTGCTCTGTTCTCAGAGCCTGGGCTAAAGTTCCAGGTCTGTGAACAACATGAATATTTCTGACTGGGAATCCTTGATTCCTCACTCCACAGATAAACAATTATTTAGGAAGTATTTAAAGTACAGAGATCATGTTGAGTTTTAGGTGGTAGACAGGATGAGGGAAAGACCCAGGAAAGTAAGAAGATGAAAGAAGTCAAGTGGTCAGAGATGGAGCCTACTGCTCAACATGTTCCTTGGAAGCCAGATTGGAACTCACAGAAGCTTAAAATAATTGGAGAAATCAAGCACAGCTTAAATATATGCCAGTGTTAAGCCCAGGCTTGTACCTTAACCGTGTTTAAATAACCAAACAAGGATTTACCAATTCTTATGCAGAGCAGAAAAAGACTCAGCTTAAGTAGGTTTTTCATTTTTTTCTTGGCTGATTCTTGAAATTGATTGTCTTAGAGTCCAGGGATCACTTCAGCTGGATGATGGTGTAACACTATTTGCTAAGATCAGCCCCCTAGTCATTTTATAACGCAATCTGAAGAGGACATAAGCCAGTGGGTGTAAGAGAGGCTATAAACAGATTCCAATCTAAGCCCTTCCCTCAATGGCAATACACCAAACCTATTGTCCATGCCCTTTTTCTCTCCTCATTCCTCCCCCAGGATTTCTTTCTCTATGTTATTCCAACTACAAATAACCTGAGGGCAATCTCACCCTCAGAAGTTTTGGTTCACAGCACAGTAGATGCTTATCTCACTGGAGCAGGCTACATCCAGTGTATAGAAGGTAAACATTAAATAACCTTCTTCTCAACCAGAAAGCAAAGTGACTGCAAAACAGAGAGACACAGAGAGAGAGAGAGAGAGAGATCACTCAGAATCCAGTGTAAGCACCAGGCCCTCCATACAGATGCAGGCAGAGCCACAAGTGCCTGATTTAGTGGGGAGGAGCTGAGACTTGAAGATGGTCAGTTTAAACAATGGTCTGTATTATTCCACAGCAGAGTTCATGGGAACCCAAGTGGGTGTGGAGATTACACCAAGTGTGCATATGATGCCCTTGAAGCACACAGAATATACGGCTCCCAGTGTGTGCCCCTAGCTACTTGAGTCCGTGGCATTCCACAGTCGTATTTTTTCAACTTGTGAACATGGCTATTTGGAAAGAGATTCTTGTTTCTCCTCCCAGCTACTCTCAGATTCACTCTCAAACACTTAAAGACATGTCTCTATCCCTGCCCTCCCTAACTCTATTAGGAGAATGAGGGCCTGTGTTGACTGTCAATGTGACCAGCCATGAAGTAGGTTTCACCGTGGGTGCTGCCTTTGTCCCTAAGACTGAGGAGAGCCTCTGGTTTCCTCATTCACCTTTGCTCCCTGGCTCTGTCAAACCTTGCAGTGCTTTGTCTCATCTGTCGGTCCTGTTGTCTTATCTGTGCTGATCACTCAGCTGAGAGATACCTGGTATCCTAACTCATACTGCTTCATCAGATACCCTCGGAAGACTCCACCAGATTAACCAGGCCTCTGGGTTCAGTTAACTCATTGCTCATACAATGGGCACCAAACCGGATATCTATGATGGTAGAAATTGGGACCAGCTCATGGTCCCAACGTCATGACTGCTTCTCAGCGAATCCGATCAATCACCGAATACTACTGAGTCTCTAGCGCATGGACAACAGAACCTGAATCTTATGACCCTGGGACGGCAGAGAGTTGCCAGAGAGAGAAAAGGGTTAATCTGCTTGAGTGGTTTAGGAGTTTGTTACATAAAGTTTCCTAAGAGCATCTGGTAAAGCTGCAGAATGAGTGAGGCTACCTAGTTCTTCTCAGATGAGTGATCAGCATAGACAAGACATAACAAATGATGAATAAGACGAAGCCCACAAAGTTTGACAGAGCCAGGGAACAAAGGTGAATGAGGAAACCAGAGGTTCTCCTCCATCTTAGAAACAAAGGGTCTCACCTCATTAAAATATAAAGCATTTACATGAAATTCATGCATGGGGTTCTTAATATAAACAGAAACAAAGTTATATGAATATACTTGAAGACAATTCTTGTGCTTCTATTAGGAAATGATATGAAAGTGATCAGAGAAAAGAAGCTTCCRGTTTTAAAATACATATAAAAGGATGAGAAGACAATGAGTGATCATTCCCCTTTCTTTTTAAATGCTTCTTTCCTTCCTCTGTTCATTCATTAAATACATGGATTTATGATTTTGTGAGAAATTAAATACAAACACATAAAAACAGTTACTCAAAAATTATCTCCCTTCCCTCTTCCCCCCATATTTCTCCTTCTGTCTCTCTAAGCAGCCACTAGCAGAATCCCCCACCAACTTCCTGAAAGTGTGCAGTGAAGCTGATTAAGAGAAGGACAGCCAAGCAGAAGCCTTAAGAACAGCTTCTGTCGTGAACAACCGTGAACCATGCCAAGACCCTAAAGGCATTCAGAGATTAGTGCCACTATTGTGAACTTGAAATATGCAAGTGTGGTGATTCCAACCACAGCCCCATTCAGCTTATGGATATGGCCTGGGTAGACGTTGATGAATTCCAGAGGAGAGTGGGGATATCATGAATGAAACAGCGATGAAGCCAAGGGTAGTTACATTCTCCCACAAAAGTATTTCTTTGCTTAAGCAAATTAACTCCTTCCCTGGAACCTGGTATAAAAACTGTTGATTTGACAAGTGTCTTTTTCTTCATCCCTGCCCATAAAGCCCACCAATAACAATTTTCTTTTAGCTGATGATCTTCTTCAGTGTACTTCAGTGTCATACATCAAGGTATATCCAGTTTTATGTTAGACATTTGGCTTACAGGGATCTTCTTCCTCCTTTCCTATCACAAGATATAACCTAGGTCTAAATATTGACATCATTACATTGATGAAACACAGTAGGCAAGAAGTACCTACGGCTCCACACTTACTGATAAGACACTACTTTTACATCAGAGGGTAGGAAATGAAAATCTAAAATTTAGCCACCTCTACTTCAGGAAAACATACAGCGTTTCAGTGGTCTGGAACGGTTTGAGATATCTTTTCTAAAGTGAAGGATAAATTAGATGTGGTCCCTTATAATCAAGAAAGAGACGTGATTCTTCATAGGCCCGGTACAGGACTGTAGCAGAAACTGAGCATTTGAACATGGACCAAGTTCCATGCTACTTAAAGTTGCCTTCTTTAACTGGGTGTTGTCTGATCCACCAAGCCCTAAAGCTCAGTGTATGCAGCAGCACCGCATCACCAAATAGAAACAGTTCATAGCTGGCTCTGAAGATGCAAATGAGTTACATGAAAAGATGGACCATGTTCCTTACTCCTGACACCCTACTTTCTCATTCCCACTCTGCACTTAGGAGCTCCTGAGTTGAGTTTCCCTATTAGCAGTTGAAAAAAAGGTGAGAAGGATTGGGCCCAGTTTCCAGGCGATAAAGGCAATATGTAGTGGACAGATAGAACACTGAAACTCCTTGCTGGGATAGCTCTATAGGAAATGGTGAGTGGATATATCCCTGGTGGGCTGAGCTTTAAGCAATGTATTTTATTGTACACTTGGTTTGAAAAGAAAAAGGACTATTGTCAAGCACATAGTGATTCATGTATTCAGCCAATAGTTTTTTTCTTTCTGGTTAGGTAGTTGCCAGTGAAAAGATTGAGGATTGCAAGATGGAGAATTGCCTGAGCAACTTAGTGAGGCCTTAAGCAGCTTATTGAGACCCAGTCTCAAAATAGAAAATAAAAAAGGCAGGGGATGTAGCTCAGTAGTAATGTGCTCCTGGGTTCAATCACCGGTTAAAATTTTTAAAAAAGATACTACCACCAGTTGTTGATTATTATAAAAAATTTTTAAAGGAAGGAAATGAAATGGATAAATGGATAAATGGGATCTCTTATGCACAGTTGATGCCTACAGTTACCACCCCATTATTCCAGAAGTAGTTTAATTCTGTCAGTAGGTTAAAGCTCTCATAATCTAATCATTTCAACATGGAACCTTACTTCGATGTCTCACATGTGAACTTTCGAGATACGTTTTGTATCTAAACCATAACAGGGCTCCTTATTTCCATGAGCAGGTCCCAACCCTGTCACTGGGGCAAATGATGCGACACATGAGGAGTTGACTCTTCTATCATTCAAGACTGTAACCTCCATGATTCCCTTCTTGATAGACAGAATTGTGGACATCCAGAACTGAAGTGTACAAGTAGATGAACAGTCTGCTGCTATTGTCCTCAAGATAGTTAAGCTTTGGTAAAAGGAGGAAGTATGCAAGTGCAGGATGGGTAGGAGTAAATGCAGCACATATATGCCAGTGCAGATAGAACTGGCTTCTTATCCCTACGGCAATGTCTAGGTATTTAGAGACTCCTGGGTCCTGCTGTTTTATGAAGTACGTGAACCCAGATATTTGGAAAAGAAAAAGATTTCCACATAGGAATAAAATCATAGAAACTCCTAGGGGAATTCCAAAGAATGATTAAAGGATGCCATTTAAATGTCCACTAGAAAAACCCAGTATTTCTGGCTACAATGTGCCATATATGCAGTGACTGAGGACATAACAAAATGGGTCTGAATTTCAAGGCCACTATCATGTAAATGTTGTTGATGCTCCTTCACTTCCTATTCTGTATCATATCTAAATAAATTTTTCTGGATAAGCCAATTGTGTTTTGTGAGCTTAATGGACAGTCTGAAAAAGAAATACTCTGTTGGTTTTTCAGTTGGATCTTTCCGTTATTTCCTAACTTAAATGGGATGGATCTAAAAATCTCAATAAATTACAATTTTACTGAGACAATTAGGAGCAGGTGGGATGGGGAGGTATGATCTTTACCAAGTTAAAAAAACAAGTTTTCTTTATTCCTAGTTTGCCAAAAGGTTTTTGTTGTTTTTATTGTTGTTCATAAATAAAATTTGAACTTTATAAATGACTCATCCATAAAATTAGACAATTAGGATCTATGTCCTTTAAGAAACTTACACAAAATGATCAAAAGCTTTTCTGTTGAATCATCTTTTCACTCTAGGTAAAATCCCTTCTCATCTTCATGCATTACCTTGAGATATGTTTGGAATAGGGTAACTAATAATTTATTTAGGAATACTCATTGACACTCATGAATGAGATAGCTTATAACTTTTTTCTTTTATCATAAATATCTTGGTTTGGAACCAATATTGTTCTGAATTCATGGAATGACCAAGGCTTTAGTTTTGCTTATCCTTCCTGGAAAAAAATATCAAAAATATAGAGATGACTTATTCTTGAAATATTTGTAGAACATGTAAAACCATCAGAATCTGATTTTGGTTTTTTGTTTTTTGTTTTTTTTACTATTGTTGGTGTATTTTAAAAAGGGTCTTTAACTATTATTTCAAAACTTTCTAAAAAAAWTTTTTTTAGTTGTAGACAGACACAATACCTTTATTTTATTTATTTTTATGTGGTTCTGTGGATCAAACCCAGTGCCTCACCCAGGCTAGGCAAGAGCTCTACCACTGAGATACAATTCCAGCCCTCAAAACTTTTAATATGATTGATAAAATTAAGAATTCTGTACTTAAAACAATTTGGCACATTGTCAGAAAATTTTGTTCTGATGGTTTTAAAAATATGAAGTACAAGTCATGAAATCTAATATTTAAATGGGATGCTACATGGTCAGGTAAAAGTTTGCTAAATGGTAAGAAGGGAAATATGCACAGAGAGAAAATAACCATATGTCACATGAGGCAACATAAATCAGACATAAAAGAGGTAAGGTGTTGACACCAGGTTTTGGTGCCCCCCATACCTATCATCAAGTGCCATTCTGCTCTTTTTGATGGAACAATTCAGAAAGACAGAAATTTTTATCAACTCTCAGAGAGGAGACATTCATTATTCCACATATTCATTTGGATTGGATTGGCCTGCACTTGAGTCTTCTAAGAAGAGCCCCAAGATCCAGGGAGGGGAAAACTAAAGGCAATGATATGCCAGCCCTGATTACTGATCCACCTCCCTGAGGCCAGCCACAAACCCTCTCCAGTTTACCTGGGCCACGTAGGAGGAGGAGTCTAAGAGTATCCTCTCCCCTCTGGCATCACCTGCAGCATCTTCACATTTCCCCCACCACCCCAGGCACTAAAGGGACAACAGGACTTTGCAGGAGCATCACTGCAAAGGAAATTCACAAGGAGTTCGCTGCTCACCAGATCACTGCACAGTGACCTAGGGGAAGGGAACTAGAGTGTTCTCTGCTTACTCAGGATAAAAGGATTGTCCACTGCTTTGCAGACAGCTGCTTCCTGCCCTTCCTCAGGCCAGCAGTGCAGCCCCTAGGAACTGGTGCAGGACCCCAGTTCCTAGGGGCCTAGGACAAACTGGTGGGGTGAGGTGGCTGACCTGCTCTAGTCTGGTGAGTCTGGGGAAGTGGGGATAGCTGGAATAAATTCCTGTTCCCTCCCATGAAAGAGATAATCTAGGAGAGAGATTGAGAGGTTGAGTTTCAGCAAAACCTGTCTCTGTTGCTCTAAGACAAATCAGGAGTCTGAGGCCCCGCCTTGTAGATTCATCTCAAGTTCTCCAGGAGCTGCTGGTATTCAACATGACATTTTATGTGTGATCCTAACCTGTTAAATATATATTATAAAGAAATGTATTTTAAATATATATGTGTGTGTATGTATACATACCTTCATGGATGTGTATTTTTTTTTATAAAAAAGAAGTAGAATACATCAAATTCAAATTTTCTCTTCAGTGATTCATGTGAGTGGGTTTTTTTCAATAACTTTTAATTTTACAAGTTTTTATTTATAAAATAATTTCAGATATAGTTCCAAGAGTTAGTTCCCTTGCACTCCCCAGTGGGTTCCTTAGCAGTTAACAGCTTGCATTATGCAATATTTTGTTACCAATAAAGAAACTGACCCTGGCTTGTGACTACTAACTAGACTCCATCCCTGATTCATCTGTGTTTTCCTACCCTCTCTGCCCTCAGCCGCCACGTGTCTTCCTCATCACATCTCTTCGCCCTCCTCTGGGCTCTGACAATTTCTCCGATGTTTTCTGTGGCTTCTTATGTTGCTAAGTTGGGCATTGTGGGACTGGAGCTTTGCAGGACCCCCCCCCCCTTGGTTTGGCCTTGTCTGATGTTCTTCTAGTGGTTTCCCTGGGGCTGTGTGTAGAGGCTGAGGGGTGACATGTCACTGACAACACATCATGTCAAAGGCATGTGCTGGCAACCTGCTTGATCACTCAGGCCATAATTATCCTATGCTGAGGCACAGTTTTCCTCATGAAGTCACTTTTTCCACATGTACACACAATACATCTTGCAGTAGGTTCTAAATGCAGCCTTGCAGGAGCTCTAATGTTTTTTCTTTTTTTTTTTTTTTACTTTTTGTTTCTGTTGTTCTTCTCAGTTATACATGACAATAGAATCCATTTTTGACATAATTATAAAAGCGTGGAATATTCAATCTGCAGTATCTCCCCTTCCCCTCTCCCACCCCACCCCTTTCTCATTCCCTCTATTGATCTCCGTGCAATTTACTCATAGGTTTTTTTAAAATCAATTTCTCRCTGATGTACCCGATGGAGAGATTCACTGTGGTATATTCACATATGTACATATGTCAGATTCATTCCACTGCTTTCCCTTATCCCATTCCTCCTCCCTTCCCTTCATTCCCCTTTGTCTACCCCACTGAACTTCTATTATTTTTTAATCTCTTCCCTTAATGTGGCTTAGCTTCCACATTGTCAGAGAGGACATTCGGCCTTTGATTTTTTGGAGACTGGCTAAATTCACTTTGCATGATAGTTTTCAGATCCATCCATTTATCTGCAAATGTCATAAAGTCATTCTTCTTTATGGCTGAGTAATACTCCATTGTGTAAATATATCCCATTTTCTTTATCTATTCTTCTGTTGAAGAGCACCTTGGTTGGTTCCATAGCACAGCTATTGTGAACTGAGCTGCTATAAACATTAATGTGGCCTCATCACTGTAATGTGCTGATTTTAAATTCTTTGTATATATACTGAGGAGTGGGATATCTAGGCTAAATGGTAGTTTCTTAGTTTTTTTTTTTTTTTTTTTTGAGGAATCTCCATACTGCTCTCCAGAGTGGTTGCACCAATTTGCGTCCCACCARCAATGTATGAGTGTACCTTTTCCGCAACATCCTCGCCAACACTTATTGTTGTTTGTATTCTTAATAGCTGCCATTCTGACTGGAGTGAGATGAAANGAGGAATCTCCATACTGCTCTCCAGAGTGGTTGCACCAATTTGCGTCCCACCAACAATGTATGAGTGTATGCTTTTCCCCAAATCCTGGCCAATATTTATTTTACATGTATTCTTGATAATTGCCATTCTGACTTGAGTGAGATGAAATCTCAGTGTAGTAGTTTTAGCTTGCATTTATCCAATTGCTARAGGTATTAAACATTTTATCCTGTATTTGTTGACCATTCATATTCTTCTTTTGAAAAGTTTGTTTTGTTTCTTTGCCCACTTATTGACTCGATTATTTGGTTTTGGTTTTGTTGTTGTTGTTATTTTGGTGTTAAGTTTTGTGAGTTCTTTATATTTCCTAGATATCGATGCCCTACCTGAGGAGTCTAATTTTTCTAACACATTTTTATTTTCCCAAATTTTCTACAATAGCCACACGATTTACATGGGTCATGAGCAGAAGAGGGTAATAAAAGGCAAGGATTTGCTTGTTTTTTTTTCTTTTATTGAGAAGAGTAGAAGCATGTCTTATTAATTACTGTTTTTTACATTTAATTGTAATAAAGTGCATAAATTAAATTTACTGTTTTAGCCATTTTTAGGTGCACCATGCAGTAGTGTTAAGTATATTCACAATGTTGTACGTCAGATATCCATAATTTTTTCATCTTGCAAAATTGAAACTCTATAACCATTAAACAAGTAATTTCTCCCACCCACAGCCCCTGATAACCAATATTCTATACTCTCTGTTTTTATACATTTGATTATTTCGGATGCTTCATGTAAGTGGAATCGTAAAATATTTGTGTCTTCATAACTGGCTTATTTCACTTGACATAATGCTGCAGCATGTGATAGCACCTCACTCCCTTCTAGAGCTGAATAAAATTACACTGTATATATATCTACCACATTGTGCCTTCATTTATTAATGGACTCTTTGGTTGCTGCCACCATCTAGGTGTTGTGAATAGTGCTGCTGTGAACATCTATGTGCATTTGCAAATGTTTATCTTCAAGACCCTGCTTCTAATTCTTTTAGGTATGAAAGTGAAGGTACTGCATCATACAGCAACTCTATTTTTAATTGTTTGAGGAGCTCTCCTACTGTTTCCCAGAGCTGCTCTACCATTTCATCTCCCACCAAAATTGCACAGTGTTCCTATTCCTCCACATCTTCACCCACACTTGTTTTCTGTCTTCTTATCTGTACCGATCCTAAAGGCTACCAGGTGATAAAAGGCAATTTTAATAGTAACTTTTAAAAACCTACTCATTAGCTTTGCCTCCATTACCACAACACATGCCCAGGTCTTTTGGTGAAACCAGTCATAAGGAAACCTAGCTTACTTTGGGATGGTATATCTGAGTTATGTTTATCACCATTAATGTTGTTGTAGATGTTACCGATGTTTTATCATTTAATAACAAGGTTCTACCGTAAGTCATGTCCCACAGTGCCAGATCCGGTCTTCCTTTCTTTTTATCTCCTATTTCATCTCAAATTTAGAGGGAAAAAAATCTGTGGAAGATATTTAAATTTGATATTTTGAAAGAAAAGCATATTTACATGATGTTTTTAAATGAGGTCAGAAAAAATACATATTTAACTAAGGTCACACAATTGATTTAATTTCATTTTATTAATCTTCCCCCCAAAAAAACTAACATGTTCTATTTGCTTTGTTTTGAATCACAAGTGAGAACTAGACAATAAAGAATTTAAAATGAAAATAACAATCTCCATTCTCCTCTACTGAACTTCAAAGGGAAAAAAATGTGGTAAGGACAGGGTAAGAAAGTGGTAACAATGAAAGAGGCATAAAGAGAAAAAGCCAAGCAAAGATGGACAAAAGGATCAGGATAAACAGGGGAGACAATGTTAATGCATCAAGAAACAAAATAGAATGATGACAGAGATTCCTACAGACAAGTAAGGTTTATACACTAAACAAATGTAAAAAAAAAAAAAGAAGAAAAATATTTTTGACCTAAAATTATGTTAAACACAGTCCTTTTTACATGACTCTGTTCCCTTAATTCTTCCCAAGCTTCCTATAGACTTGCACAGGTCACCCCTCATTTTGTCACAGTCCACTCATTCCTCAGCCCATTGTACAATGGCTTCTGCCCACTTCTGCATGGAACCTGCTCTACCAGTAACCTCCAGGCTGTCCCAGAAAGCAGTCACGTACTTCCTCCTGCCTCTGTGATCCTCACCCATCAATCCTGCAGAGTGACCTTCACCAGCTCTCCATCGTGGTCTCTGACTCATCACCCCACTCCACCTCAGCTCAGGACCACCTCTTTAGATCTCTGACTGCAGCTATCAGTAGGTCCTGGCTGTGAGTCGGAAGCCGATGATCCCAGCTTGCCTGCCTCAGGTCTGGATGTCTTCTTAAACTTTAGGATCCCTCTGCCCATCTACCTGCTGACATGTTTTCCTGGTCTTCYGCTGACCCCTTCAACTCCTGATGTGTAAGATGGAACCCTCACCTGGCTAGGCACTCGACAGTCACTTCTAAATTGGTGGAACTAGAAGCTAGAAGTTAGTCAGGCACGGTGATTCAGTGAGGGCGGGGGAAAGGCAAGTCAAGGAAGATTGATGGTGATTTTCAGAAGGGAATGTAGAAAGGAAAGGAGACAATAATGAGCTGTGTCTGGTATCTGGGTGTGGGTGGGTGAAGATCCAGTGGCCAGGAAAGAGGTGAAGAAGAAGAGGTGGAAGTTAGATGAGGTGGAAGTTAGATGAGGATAATTTACCAAAGACACAGAAATAGGAAACACATAAAGGAACAAATCACAACTGCCAAAGAAACAGACAGTTAGTAAATTTCCTTGTTCACAAACTTCCCTGATATCTGTTACAGAAATCTTGATTTTTGCAGCAGTAGGAAGATACCTTAACCTGCTCATAATACATGTGTGAAGGAAAACAAAAATTCTGACAGTCCAATTCAGTGTGATCATGAAGCCATCCATCTAGAAGACAAGAGCATTGATACTTAGCACCGGAATCAAAGCTTGAGGCTCACAGTAAGAAGACCTTCCCCCCAACACCAGACCTATTCACCAGAGCATGACCATACCCACCTCCCAAACTGGTATGATGGAATTACCTGTCTCAGAGAAAATGAAGATATTCATAGTTCTGCATGCAGAGACAGAGTTCAGAGTGCAGTTGCCCTTGCCTTTCAAACAACGGCCGTCCTTAAAAGAGCTGCAGACTGTGCACATGAGAGCTTGAGCTAGGGAAAATAAACATGAAGGCTTATTCCAGGATTGAATGGGTTGGAACCAGGTTGGGTGGGAAAACATTGGGGTCCAGTGACAAAACATTGCCTTAAAGTTCCTCAACATATTCTCAGTGGCCAGAAAAGTCCCCATCAGATTGGATCCATTGGTTCCTTAAGAAGTGTTGGTTTCAACACTGTAATTTTGATTGCATTGAAAATAAAGTGAAAGGTAGCACCCTGGCTATGATGCAATAAATAATAAGAGCATCTACCTATAGGAACCTTGAGGCCAAAGGTATCTTTAAAAATGGATGAGACAAAAAAAAAAAAAACCCTTAACTGACCCCAAAGAAGGAAGGCAATCACAAAATTTCCTACCACACCTTCCTTCTGAAAAAAAGGCATCTGATACCCAAATATACGTAAGCAGAAAAAGTTTACTTGCTATGAAAAAAAAAATGGTTGAAGATAAGCCATTCAGTGACCTCTTCCTGCTACATGGCTAGCCTAGATATAGGAAAGTCTTAAGCAATTATTGCCTGCCTCTTGGGGTCAGCCAGGAAGACTCTATGCCCTAAATTGACAAGAGSACCCCTACCCAACCTCTCCTAGGGAGAGAGGAACCCCCCTCTGTTATCTGGGAAAGAGACCTCAACTCTGCCCTGCTAGGCATCCAGGTGAGCTCAGCACACACAGACCTCCAATTCTTGATGGTCAGATCATCAGAGTCCTGCCCTTGGCCTCCTCCCTCAACATGCACTAACTGCCCTGCACAGTCAGATCATCATCCTTAGTCTGCTCCCCAGCCACCTTCACCCTCTGGACCACACCTTGGAAGAACACAACAGGCAAAGGACCCAGCATCAGGAGCAGGAGAAGGAACTTGTCCATGTCAGTCTGGGATGGCAGAAGATGCAGCAGGGCAACTGAGAGTGGGCAGCCAAGTGCCCAGGAAGGGCCAGGAAAGCTGCTCTTGTGCACAAGCGAGAACAGGCTGGAGGATCTGCTCTGAGCTGCTCCCAGGCTGTGGGCAGGCACTTCCTTTTGCCCCCTCGCCAGTGGGTGTTTTGCCACCACCCAGGTTCAGGAGGTTCAGGACAGCTTCCCACAGAGCCAGCCCTTTTGGAGCTTCTGAGGACAGAGGCTGTCCTGGAGCCCCTTCCTGTTCCTTTGTAGGTGCAGGCCAGGGTGTTCACTTCCGCTCTCCTCCCTCCCTGGGGTTGAGCTCATAGTCAGGACCATGACCCTCCCACTCCAACTTGGGGTTGGCAACTGTGGGGGATCCCAATAGCAGACTTTGCTCTGCAGTTCCTATAAATCAGGATGTGCATCCGCTGCCACCATGCAATATCTCATTTATGATGAATCTTCAGCCTGTCACACAGTCAAATAAGCAGCAAACAGCATCCAAACAACAAATGGAACAGGGACCTGATGGGGCCCAGGCTATTTTATAAACCTGTCCTTTGGCCCTTATTTGTCCCCATGTCAGACTCTCAGATGCAGCTGACCAAAGTGAAGTTTGGTTGACAGAGGTTCTTAGCCAGAGCTCTACTCTCAACAGAAAGGCTGTGAGTTTCCACACACACACATCCTCATAGGCCTGGCCTAAGAAGATGTGGCACCCAAACCACTCAGGGTGTCCAATATGTTTCAAAATGTTTAATTACAATTTTCTACTGATATGTTCTAAAGTGTCTTCAGACTCCTCATCATGCTTCATAAAATAACCAAGACCCCAGGCTCTCAACATGCCTGGTCATCCAGCCAGCGGAGGTGAAAGACCCTGGAGCAAGTCCACAAGTGTACAGGCACCACAGAGCATGTCCCAGCTGGCAGGGGCAGTCGTGTGTCTCCTCCCTCTCTGCCCTCTAGACGACCCTTTATGGAAGGGCCCTTCACAGTCAGGCTCACCTGTGAGCGGAGTGCTCTGCCCAACACATGCCTGATGGACAGACGGGGGACTCAGTACTGCTTGACAACTACACAAAGACAATAGGACAGATGAGTGAGTGCAGGATGGCTTGTGGCCAGGAAGCTGCTACTGGAGAGTGAGCACCAGGCTCCCCCATGCATCACTGTCTGAGAGTCTGGGCGCACTCCACACCTGGAGAGCACAGCTCTGGTGCACGAAAGCTCCCCTCCCCCACTGTCCCAAGACAATGGTCAACAGTGTGCAGAGCAGACACTGCAGGAGTGGGGGGGAGGGCATGAGTGGGGTGCAATGATGGCATGGTTTACCCAGACCCAAAACTGACAGTGTACTGTCACCACTCACCAGTGTGTTCAGCATGTGCCTCCAACAGTGACTCTGGAATTCCAAGTGTTCTCACAATTTCCATTCCTGTTGCCACAGGAATAAGTGGACCTTATAAGGAGGCACATAAGTGTGCCTTAAAAGGAGGTACAGAAGTAGAAAATAAGAGTAAAGGATGTCATCAAATTTTCATTGGAGCTACCAGTGAACAAACTTATTCTGTGAACATCAAGTTACTAACATTCTCTGAGGCCTTTGTAGACAATTATATTATTGGCAGAATGTGTGTTGAGTAGGAATTGTTATGAGCTGTAAAATATGGGAACAGATCTTTAAAAAATAATATCTTCAATATACTGTAGAAATGCACGCTCATCCAACATCATATGGTGTCTTCTAATGGAGAAACATCATGGGTCCCTCATCATGAATATTTTGTCATAATGTATCTATTGTGTCCAAGATGCTGTTAATTAAAACAAGTTACACTTATACATTTACAAGGCATGGTCTGACTAGAAAAGTCAGCAAGAAGTACCTCAGGACAGGAACATAAATTGGACATAAACAAAGACCATAAAATCTCCACTTGCATATTTAATTTACTGGGAGCCCATGAGGGGTTGCCCCCCAGATTCATAAAGTGAGTTGGGATCTAACATTCTCACCTCATGATTTTACTCCAAATTTAATTACTAATAAAGCCCCTTTTACTCCCACAAAGTGTCTGAGGCCCAGAGCACATTACATGACCAGCATATTCAGAGGTTATGAGGCATAATCTGCTCTCCAATCCAGGAAGCTCTTTCTCTGACCATCCCAGACAGTGGGTGGCCAGAACCACCACATACTTCCAGGTCCACGCCAACCCATTAGATCTTCCATGATGCATCTCAACTGAGAACCACCAAGGGGAGTGTCCTGGTCAGAGCATAGACTCCTTAATCTGACATGTCTGCAAGAGGTGGAACCTAGTAAAGACGTTGAGGTATTCAGTACTCACCCATACAAGGGATCATGCTGGTCTCACAGAGTGAGTTAAATTTTCCAGAGAATGGGTTGCRTTTTTTAGTTGGCAGTTTTCATGTGCTACACATTGAACCCAGGGCCTCACATATGTTAGACAAGTGCTTTCCACTGAGCCATATCCACAACCCCAGAGTGGTTGTTTTAAAGCAGGGCTACCCAACATGCTTTGCACTTCTACATCTCCCACCATATATTTTTCTCTCTCACTCAGTTCTACCCTGGCACCTGCTGGCATTATCCAGGTCAAAGACAAAATGATAGCAGGTGCAAAAAAAAAAAAAAAAAAGAATGCTATTTTATGAACAAATGATCAGGCTCCTCTCAGCACTGGCCCTTCACCAAATGCCAAAGTATCACAGTGAACAGGCATCCTATTATAATGTGTTTGCACATGAATTTTGTGTAATTTTCATCWATTATGCACACAGAATATTCTCATGGGACCTGCTCATTCCAGAAAACTGAATTAAAATATGTATGTAGATGTAAACGATCAGCATCTGGTTCTCAAATCCCTCCTGTCTGGCTCCCTTTACCAACCCCTCCAGTACATTTTCACTCCACCACCACCACCTAGACCTCCAGTGGCATCACTGACCAGACACAGGTTGCGTGTTCCACCTGCATCCTTTCATCTGTCACCTCTTAGAAGCCAGGATTTTTAAAACACATATGCCTCTGCAGCATGGATGGATTGTGTGTGTGTGTGTGTGTGTGTGTGTGTGTGTGTGTGTGTTGGGGAGAGATATAAAACCAGGGCAGAAACCTGGGAAAATCAAAACTCTTGGTATCATTTCTCAAGTGACACCATTGCCTGATATATTCGAGCCAAGCAGTGAGCATACTCCACAGCATGCTCACCCTTCTCTACCCCTTGAGCATCATTCACCAGACTCCTTATCCCTTCCACTGACAGAAAGGAAGGACCYACACTGGAGATACACTCCCACCCACTTGACTAAAGAAGTTGCCATCAACCCCATGCAATCATCAAAGTTGAGGTCAGGATCTAAGTGCTCTCATCTTGCCACAGGAATGAAAATTGAACTGTTCTGCCAGTACTTAGTCTGCTACCCACCCATACACACACACACACACACACACACACACACACACACACACTGGTGTGGACTAAGGCTGATTTCACAATCTACTGGCATAGACTATGGTGGTTGCTGGACTACTGATGTGCATGTGCAATACCCTCTGTTCTGTATACTTTCTAATAAACTATTGCTGGAGAAGTTAATTGTGTCTTGTGAATTTGATAAACAATCCAAACCTGAAATTCATTCAGGTAGTTTTTCATTAGGATCCTGCTTTGGGGGGGGGCAATGTTAATGGAATGCATTAAAATGTCCTCAATGAAGAACAAAGTTTACCATAAAAATTTATATTTGACTAAAGGGGTTGGGAGATCTTCACCAACATAAGTAACTTCATTCTACTTTTCTAAGAGGTTTTTGTTTTTCTTCTTATAGGTTTTGAACTTCAGGATAAAATATTTTCTTTAACTAGGATGATATGACTTATGTTCTTTAGGATATTGATGTAGAATGAATTGATTGATAGGTTGTCTAATATTGAACCATGCTGGTACTTCAGTCAAAATCTAAAATCTATCTAAATGCACATCTGTACAATCTTATTTAATTCTGTGACTAATATTTCAGTGGTATTTTGAATTAGAATCATAAATAAAAGGCCTTTATTTTCTCTTTTCTATAATCATTAAAATCAAATTCCCGCATAGATATAACTTTGATTTCTCAGCATAGTTTTCAAAAGATAGAAATGAACTCTTTTTAAAAATTGTTAGAATTCACATATAAAGCCACCAGATCAAGATGGAGGAATAGAGAAGGTCACTATCCTGGCTGCTCCATGGTGTGAAAACAAGAAAGCAGACAGGCAGCTTCTCAGCCAGGTGGGTAGAAAAGCAGGGGAGGGAATACATTGGGACTTAATACTGGAGATCCAAAGCTGATTGGAAACTCAGAAGGTTGGATATTATAAAATAAGGAAGAAATCTCCGGCACCACTGCCAGGATCACAGCCGGCGGCACCAGGCAGAGGGGCCCCTCCATGAGCACAGTGGAGGGATAAAGAAATTAAAGGAACCTGCATTTTTAGGAGTCCTGAGGAATGTCTGGGTATGGAGAGTTTAGAGATCAAAGACACTGCCCAACTAAACAGAAAGGCATTCAGCACAATATCCTAGTGCAGGAAAGAGCCATATCTCTCCCCCATGCTTGCAGAGGACAGAGGGAAAGATCATTCTGCAGCCATGGAGCAGGGGCCTGCACAGGGGAGGAGGCAATTTCTGGCAAACCCAAGTTTGTTCCAAAATACAGCCCTGGCAAACCCACACTATACAACATCAAGTGTGCCTAAGAGACCAGGAGAAAATCAAATGTGGAGAAGGGTTTACACAGGGGAATACTGGTTGTGGAAACCTACCCAGCTCTCCCCCTCACCCTCCAATCAGGCTGTTTGCGGGACTGGCTGGGAGAGATGTGCCTGGCTGGGAACTTGAAAGGACAGGGGTAAGAGAGGTTTAGTTTGGAGACTGAACCCAAGACCAGAAAATGTGGAGTCCACAGGT